TATTTCCATCAACCCAAAGATTCCTTTGTGACCATTCCATCCCCTCCTTGGTCCCAGGTAACCACTCCTCTGGTTTCTTTCAGTATGGTTAGATCTTTTTCCCCCTAGAGTTTCATACACATCATATAGTATGTACTCATTAGTGTTTGGCTTTCCTTACTCAGCATAGTATTCTTTAGGCTCATTCATGTTGTTGCATCTATCTCGAGTTTATTTGTGTTAATTTCAGAGTAGCATTCCACTGCATTGATATAATTTTTTTTCCATTCACCTATTAATGGACATCTGGACTGTTTCCAACGTTCAACTATTATGAATAAAGCTGCTGGGAAGATTTACATGTAAGTCTTTGTATGAGCATACATTTTCATTTTTCTTAGTAACCTAGGGATGGAACTACATGATTATATTATAAGCATATGTTTAACTATAGGAGACTGCCAGTTTTCTATACCATTAACATTCCCATTAGATGTATGAGTTTCAGTCAGCATATACCTTTGACTTATGAAAATTAAATATTATTTGGTACCTTTACACATTTCCCTGACAATGAAAGTCCTTAGAACATTTTATCTCCATCTCAACTTATATATACTACATTATGGTCTAGTCTTTTACTCTAAATATATTGTATGCCCAGTAAGCTACTGTTATTATTTTATACATCCAATAGTCATTTAACATGCCCCATATATTTATTATTTTCACTTTTAAAATGCATCTTAATCCTTCCTTCTGGGATAATTTTCCTTTTGCTTGAAGAACTCCCTTTAGTGAGGGTTTGATGAAAATGAATTTTAGTTTTTTTTTTTTTTGTCTGAAAGGGTCTTTACTGTTTCTGTTGACATCAGAGTAGTCTATTTATTATTACTTTAAAGACAATGCATTTTTTTCTAGGATAATTTAAAGATTTTTCTCTTTGTTTTTTATTTGTTTGTTTCCAAAAATTTCACTGTAATGTATCTCTATCTTGTCTTTTAATTTATCCAAATTGGGTTCATAGAGCTTTTTGTAATTGTGCCTTTTTGTCCTTTATCAGGCTTGGACAGGAATCAGCCACTGTCTCTTCAAAAATTGCTTCTATAGCATTCTCTCAGTTTTCTTCTAGGATTCGAATTACTTCTGTGTTAGCCCTTTTCAATAAATCATATATTGTTTCTCTTCTGCATTTTACACATTTTTGTCTTTCTGGGCCTCATTCTAACTATTTTCTTTCAGTTCATGGGTTTTCCCTTCAATTGTATCTAAACCACTGAGTCTTTATCTATATATTCAAGTTTTAGAATTTCCAGTGTGCTTGCTCTCTCATGTGCTCTTTTTCTCTACACAAATACACTGTCTATATGATAGAATTATCATGTTAGTTTCACCTACTTAAACATGTTCATCATAGCAATATCTGGAGTTTTAGTAGGTCAGTATTTTTTAATTAGGTTATAAATTATATACAATAAAAAATAGTTTGGTTGTACATTTCAAATTGCTTGGGCAAATGTACACAGTTGTATAACTACTACCCCAATGAAGATATAGAATATTCTACCAAACCAACAAGTGCCCAAGTGCCCTTGTACCCATTTTCAGTCAATCCATCACCCCAGAGGAAAGCACTGCTTTGGTTTCTAACACTGTAGCTTAGTTTTGCCTGTCTTAGAATTCCATATAAATGAAATCATATATTATGTACTATTTTGGGTCTGGCTTCTTAGTTTGACATTATTTTTGAGATTCACTTATACTGTTATGTGACTCAGAGTTGTCAATGCACTGTATGAATATCTGATTGAACATGCCACAATATAAACACCCATTCACTTGTTGATATACATCTGGATATTTTCCAATTTGGGATTTTATGAATAAAGCTGTTATGACCATTCTTGTATAAGTCTTTTATATATGTATAAGCCTTTTATATATATTTTCATTTCACTTGGGTATGAAGTGAAATACCTAGATTTTTGGATAAATGTATTAACTTTCTAAGAAATAGCCAAACTGTTTTTCCCAACTGGTTGTACCATTTTAAATCCTCACCAGCAGTGTATGGGAATTCCAATTGCTCCTCAACCTCACAAGTATTTGGAATTGTCAGTCTTTCATTTTAGCCATTCTAGTGTTTATAAAGTGATATCTCCATGTAGTTTTAATTTGTATTTTCCTGATATAAAATGATGCTAAATATCTTTTCATGTTCTTATGGGGCATTTACATATATTCTCAGTAAATGTCTATTCATGTATTTTTCCAATTTTTAAAGTTAGATTCTTTGTATTTTTATCATTGAATTTAAGGATCTCTTTATATTTTTCAAACAGATGCCTTGTTGATCTGTATATATATAAAATATATTCCTCCAGTCTATGGCTTGCTTTTTAATTCTCTTAATGTTATTCTTTGATGAGTGGTAATTTTTAATTTTGATTAAGTCAAATTTATTTTTTATTCTTCACTTAATTTTTTGTATACTAAGAAATTTCCACCTTCCAAAGGTTACAAAGACATTGTCCTATATTTAGTTCTGAGTATGACATTTTTAGCTTCTATATTTAAGCCTATGATCAATCTCAAATTAATTCTCTGCGATGCCATCTCTGTCATAAATCAAGTTTTCATATATGTGGGTCTACTTTTATTTCTCTATAGTGTTTTTCTTTCCCTTATGCCTATAACACACACTCTTAATTTCTATAGCTTTTTAATTATTTTTGACATCTTGTGGGGCAAGTCTCTTCACTTCGTTCTTTTTTAAAAAGACTTATTTATTTATTTTAGAGCAAGAGAGCACACACAAGGGGGGGGAGAGGGAGAGAATCTCCAGCAGACTCCCTATTGAGTGTGGAGCCCAACACAGGGCTCGATCTCACGACCCTGAGCCAAAATCAAGAGTCAGACCCTTACCCGACTGAGCCACCCAGGCACCCCCACTTTGTTCTTATTTAGGAGGATATTGGCTATTCTTGGCTCTTTGTTCTTTTATAAAAATTCTGCAATAACTTTTTAAATTAACGTTTTATGTTGGAGGTTCTTACATCAATGCAGTAAGTGTAACTATGAACTCTAAACTCAAGTGAGACCAAGTTTAAATTAAAAAATAAATTCTTAACAAATCCTATATTTTGCACAGAACCCAGGGCAAAACAGACATTATTCCTTATTGTCTCCCTGCACTGATTACTGTAGTTTTTTAGTGCTCTTTCTAGGGCATAACCCTTCAGTGGTATTGGATTTATGTGATGAATCCTTGTATTCATTTCCTATGGTTTATGTAAAAAATTACCACAAATTTAGTGACTTAACACAAATATCTTTTCTTACACTTTTTGAAGGCCAGAAGTCTGGCAGTTTTATGGGCCCCTTCCTCCTCTTTCAAAGCCAACAGTATAACATCTTCAAATCTCTCCAGCTTCCTTCATCACACTGCCTTTTGCTCTGTAGTCAAATATCTTTCTGCCTCCCTCTTATAAGGACACTCGTGATTATATTTAGGGCCCAACCAGATAATCCAGGATAATCTCTCCATCTCAAGATCCTTAATTTAGTGCACATCTGCAATGTCCCTTTTGCCATATAGGGTAACATTCACAGGTTCCAGAGATTAGGACATGGATATATTTGGGGCCATTATTTAGTCTACCACGGCCCTAGTTCTTTCTAATCCTAAACTTCACTCAGGCTCAAAGCCTTTCTTATGTAACCTTAAAACTCAAAATCTTATTTACCAAAACTAGTAGTCCATTTTCCACCTATAACAGTATCAGTTCATGTGATTAACACTCTAATTTTTAGTTCCCTCTTCCATTTGGGCCCCTGAGTATTTCCTTTAATTTATCAGCTCAGATATTTAAAAACAATGTTTTCTATGTTTTATCTAGCTTTTCTAGGAGTTTGTAGAAGACTTTTCAGAGTATGTAGTTTGTTATATTTCTAAAAATTGTTGACTCCTACATAGATTCTGTTCCCTCTACTTTACTAGAACTGTTCAAGATCACTAACAACCAAGCATATCACCATACTCAACAGTTTCTATCTGCATCTTACCTAAAAACACAGAATTTACACCAAATGATTATTCCCTACTTTTTGAAACATTCTCTTCTTGACTTCCATGATATCACACCCTTCTAGTTTTTGTGGTTTTTTTTTCTTCTTTTCTTTTTTCCCTCTTTACAGGTTACTCTTGTTCTTTATGCTGTGTCTCTTCTATCTGACCTAAAATGCTGCTGCTGCTTAAAAAAAATCATTTACTATTTAACTACACAGTATAGCTTCAGGATATTGGTAGGAAGTATTGGCCTTCTGTGTGGGTACTCAGCATATCCATGTGTATGCCTCACAGACACCACTGCCATGGAGGCAGTTTAGTAGACTAAGAAGAGTATTTTTCTCCTAAAAATTTTACAGTGGGGGAAACAGGCAGAAAATGTTCTATATGTTTTAAGTCTCCCAGGAAAAAATGCTAATGATGTACAAATCTCTTTTTAGACACCAGTGACTTTCTATTAAAGAAAATTTCCCTGATTGTAGGCACTATTGAAAAATCCTTCAAACTTTGTGTAGCCTTTACTGATAATTTGTACTTTCAAAAAGCTAGAGGAGAAATAGCAATGCCAGATGCTTATACAAAAAAAAAATGGATCAAAAAAAGCCCCCAATCCACTTCTCTGTTGTCAACTTAGTTTCCCACTTGTCACCTTCTCCAGCTCTGCCCACTAATTTCCTCTTTTTCACTGAAGGCTCAGTCCCTCCCCAGTTCCTGAAGCAAACCTGACTGAGAGAGGAAGCATTTTAGTAACCTTACTACTCCAACACTCTTCTATTCCCACTTTTTTTTTTTTAAGAATTCAGTTACTTGAAACACCAGGATCTGATGACTCAATTACTAATGCTGGGCCCAGGCATTGCTTCCATCCACTTTCCTTATCCCTACTCTGACAGTCCATCATAAAACTTTTCCAGTGCCTTCATCTACCCATTCTCCATAAAACAACACTCACCAAAGACCGTACGGGCAGGGACAGACTCTCTGTTGAGCCAGAAAGACACTTGTGACAGAATGACAGTCATAATACATGGCAAGTAGGTCTGGATCACAAAATAGCCAATTTTTCGCTTGAGATGGAAGTGGGTTGTCATGACGACATATTCTCCTGGAGAGAGAGTAAAATTAGGCAATATATAGCTGAGTAAACATTGTTAAATCAAGGTGGACCCCAATTCAGTTCACCAAGTTCTTTAACCTTAGACTCAAAACAACACATTCCAGCACCTTCCAAGTTCACATAACCAGATCTCTTTAATAATCATGAAGTAGTGCATTTTTATGCAAAAATATATGCCAACACTGTACCAACACAGCTTGCTCAGAGCAATTCTGACACAGATTCATTCAAATAAATCAGTATCTTAAATAATAATAAATAACAGTCCTTCTACAACATTTGCTATGTGACTGGCACTCTTCTAGCACTTTAACATTTAACATCTTAAAATACTTAATGTTTATAACAATGTTATAAAGTAGACACTATTGTTATCCTCATTTTATGGTCCAGTAAACTGAGGCAAAGAGAAATTGAGCAATTATATAAGGGTATCCAGCTACTAAGCAGTGAAGTCTGAATTCAAGACCATATGGGTTAGTTCCACAGTTTATGCTTTTTAACCACAATGTTCTGCTGTTTGAATGGACTTAGAGTTAGAACCAAAAGTTCATATAGCAGAATGTGGGCTGGCCTATATCACCCCACTCCAAAACAAGAGTGAACACTTATTGAGCTCTTACTATATGCCAAACAACTTTGAGAGTTTTGTCTCTGCCCTTCCTCTCTCCCTCTCTCCCTCTCTCTAATTTTTTAATAAAAAAATTTAAAAAAAAATCTTCTGCCTAGGCTTCCTACTTGTTATAGGTTGAATTGTGTCTCCCAGAAAGATATGGTGAAGTCCTAATCCTGAGTACTTCGGAATGTAACCTTCTTTAGAAAAAAGGTTGTTGCAAGTATAGTTAAGATGAGGTCATACTGGAGTAGGATGGTCCTTAATCCCCTATGACTGATGTTTGTATAAAAAGAAGACAGATACACACAGGGAGATATATGATCATGTGGAATATTTAATATATAAAATATATAATAAATATTCATAAATTAGTTATATTTTATAGATCTGAAAGACAAAGCAAGTGGACTTTTCAAAAACTTATCAAATCAAGCATTTGTTTTAAATAACTGAATATATTTTTTTCAGTCTTCTTTTCTAGCCTTCTCTCTTTCAATTTCTTTCTTCCAATCTCATTTCTAAAGAAGCAAAGAGCATGCCTAAGATGAGCAGATGGTGAAATAGGACATCCCTGGCTCCAGTATCCCATCACAAATATATGGATTAGCAACTATTTACAGACAATAATACTTTTGTGAAAATCCCAGAACCAGGGATTAAAACTAAAACACCTTTGAGCACAAAATCCAAGAAAAGCCACATTAGAAAGGTAAGAGAAGTGGCTTCACTGCACCACCTACTTCCCTCCCTCAGGCCAGCCCAATGTAGCACCTAGAGGGTTCCTCTGGGTCTATGGTTTCTCTAGTGGGAAAAGGAGAGCCTAAGGCAGATACACAGTTTCCCCCAGCATTCCAGAGCATTCCTCCAGAGGCCTACTTCTGCCTTGCATCATGGGGAATACTGGGAGAATCAACAGGGCTAGACCATTTGGGGTCAACTAGGAACAAAGAAGGGGGAGTGGTGAAACTTCCAGCCACCTGTGCTTGGATCTTGGCAGTGATACCAGGTCCCTGCTAGCAAACTCGCCTGATCAGAGTTTAGCCAGCAGTCTGTCCCCACCTGTACAGGAAACCCAACCTCTCAAAGCAGCCTATAGCTCTGGCTAACAGATAAGTACAGGCAGAGGTACTGCCCAACAGCAGAGTTTGGACCAACAGCATAACTCCAGCAGAGACCTTACCCAGTGGTGGTAGTCTAGGCAAAAGGATCATACCCCTTGGTGTCCTGGTGCCCTCACCCACCAAAATGGTGACTTCCACAGATCTAAAACACCCTGGCTGTCTTGCCTGGGGGTCATGGTGACCTCCAACTACCAAAATGGAGAACTCCATGGGTCAAAACCTCTGGCTGCACTGCTGAGAGGGAGATGGGGGGTCATGGCACTCCAACCACCAATATGGTGACTTCCATGAGTTGAAACAGGCCCATTGTAATACCTGAGGATCCCTGCCCCCAAGCTGTAGAGCATGCTAGGGTTAACCTGTGTTTCAAAACAGTGTGGCACCCAACTGCTGCAAGTAGCTCGTCCCCCATACAACAGAGGCCCCCTGTGGCCCTGCTGAACAGTGGAGCATAGACCACTGAATCATGAATAGAAAATCTAAATGGATCAATACAGTGCAAGGAGATATAATCAGTAATTAACATCTCCCAACAAAGAAAAGCCCAGAACAAAATGGCTTCATGGGTAACCAAACATTTAAAGAAGAATAAATGCCAGTCCTCCTTAAACTCTTCCAAAAAACTGAAAAGGAGAAAATGCTTCCAAACTCATTTTAGAAGGCTAGCATTGCCCTGACACAAAATCAAATAAAGACTTAAAGAAAATTACAATCGACTCTTAAACAATGCTGGGGTTAGTGACACCAAAGCCCCACACAATGGAAAATCTGCCTATAACTTCTGACTCCCCCAAAATTTAACTACTAATAACCTACTGTTGACCAGAAGCCTTACCAATAACAGTAGATTAACACATATTTTGTACGTTATAAGTATCATATACTGTATTCTTACAATAAAGTTAGGAAAATAAAATGTTGTTAAGAAAATCATAAGGAAGAGAAAATACATTTATAGTACTGTATTTATTGATAGTGTAAGTTTACCTCATCTATTTATAAGACAAACCATCTGTTAGAGCCTACATCAATATTGTCTTACATAATACAAAACACTATAAATGCTATACATGTTACTGACACTACACATCAAAAATGAAAATATGTGAAAAAGGAATTAATATTTATTTACAAGTATAACAATTCATATATTGATATCAAAGAAGCAGCAATATGATTGCTTTATGGTAGCCTAGTATAATCAATATAATTGCTTCATGGTGGCTTAACCCATATACTCATGAATGAATTGTCATAAAATTTTTATGGCATACAGTATTACAGTCATATTCATAATATGGTATTGGAAACATTGTTACTTAAAAAAAACACTTGCCTGTGACGATAGGCTGATATGCATTGTCTCCAATTAGAAGAGAGAATTACTGTATGGTAATGTAATTCTTTGAAAGCAAAGTTATAAAACAGAAAATTAACACATTATTAATTTTATATTAAATACCACTCACTTTATGCCTATGTAAGGATCAGCTATCCACTTCCATACAAGTCTTACACATGATGTTCTTCATAATGAATATTTATGTGATGATGATGACACAAAAATGTCTCATACAATTCTTGCTGTACAGTTATTAGAAAAAAAGATATTCACATGAGGACAAAAAAACACAACAGATAATAAGTTTATTAACTGTATGCCATGATGATTATTTACTGTTCATTAAGTGGAATTGTTGAAACATTGTAAAGGTCTTCATCCTCCTTGTCTTCTGGTTTAGTAGGTGGAGGGGGAGAAAGAGGAATTAGTCTTGCTGTCTCAGGGGTGGCAGAGATGGAAGTAGTGGAGGAGATGGAAGGAGAGGTAGGAGAGGCAGGCACACTCAACGTAACTTTACAGAAATACATTGTAATGTCTGTCTGATTTGTTTTTCTCATTTTTCCAAAAACGTTTCTATATGGTACCAATCCTTCTTCCACCACTTGTTTTAATTTCAGTGCCCATATCATAGAAGGGTCCATGTCATAAAAAATGTCAAAAGCAGTCTTGAATAATTGGAATCCTTCTTATATGTTGTCTAATGTCAATTTGTTTTCTGGCACTACTTCTACATCTTCTTCCTCATTTTCTGGCACTGCTTCAGAAGCACTCATCTCCATCAAGTTGTCTTCTGTTAATTCCTCAGATGTGGTGTCTATTAGCTCTTGAATTTCTCCAAGATCGATATCTTGAAATCTTTCAATCCCCACTTTTTTTTTTTTTGCCATATCACACTCTTTCATTATTTCTTTAGTTCTATCATAAATCATGTGATGTCATGCACAACATCTGGACATAGTTTTCTCCAGCAGGAATTCATTGTTTCAGACTTGATGGCTTTCATGGCTTGTTCTGTAACAACGATGGCATCTTCAGTGTTATAATCCTTCCAGATTTTCATGTTGTTCTCTATATTGGGGTTCTCCTGCATAGGGTTGATGATCTTTTACATAGAGTGCCATGTGTAATGAGACTTAAAGGTCCTTGTGACCTCCTGATGCAGAAGCTGAATTAGAGGTGTTGTGTTTGGGGACAAGTAGACCACTTCAATACTTTTGGTGTTGAACTTATGGGTTTCTGGGTGGCCAGGTGCATTGCCCAATATCAAAAGAACTTTAAAAGTCAGTCCCTTACTGACAAGTTACTTCCTGACTTCAGGGAAAAAGCACTGATGGAACCAATCCAGAAAAAGTGTTTGCATTGTCCAGGTCTTCTTGTTGTACAACAAAAATACTGGCAGCTGGTGTTTATCTTTTCCCTTCAAGGTTGGAGGGTTAGTAGCTTTATAGATAAGAGCAGTCCTGATCATTAACCTGACTACATTTACACAAAACAGTAGAGTTAGTGTGTCCTTCCCTTCCTTAAGTCCCGGTATTCGCTTCCCTTCCTTACTAATAAATGTCTTTTGTGGCATTTTTTTCCCAGCATAGGGCACTTTCATCTGCATTAGAAAGCTGCTCGGACAGATATCTTTTTTCCTTAGTGATTTTTTAATGGTGTCTGAGAACTCAGCTGCCTCTTGGTTGGCAAAAGCTGTTTCTCCTGTTATTTTGACATTTTTAAAGCCAAAACTCTTTTTAAAATTATCAAATCATCCTTTTCTGGCATTAAGTTCCCCAACTTTAGACCTTCCTTTTACTTTAAATTGTTATAGAATGACTTCACTTTTTCTTGAATCATATTAGAGTCTATAGATATGCCTTTCTTATAGCAATCCTGCACCTGCATAAAAGCTGCATTTTCAATGAGA